TGTAAAAAAATTGAAAAAATAAGGCATTGTAAGCTGACAAGGTCCTTGCAATCTGTGAGGTCAACCCAGGGTTGCCTCACCTTAAAAAAAAAAAAAGGTGGGTACCGTAAAGGGCAGCAGCACTTGCTCCAAAGCTCTATCTTGAGCTTCTCTAACAGTCCTCCAGGTGTGGACCACAGAGCAGCGCCATCAGCATCTCCTAAGAGCTTGTTAGAAGTACAAATTCTCAGGCTCCACCTCAGACCTAGGAATCAGAATTTCTGGGGGTGGGGGCCAGAAATCTGTTTAACAAGTCTTCTAGATGCTTCTTATGCATGCTAAAGTTTTAGAAGCATTGCCTTATTTAGCAGTTACCTGTCCCAGAAATCAAGTTTCTAGTAGCCTCCCCCTTTACAACTGTGTCATTCAGTGGCCTGGAGACCTGGAAGTTTCCTAGATTGGCTGGTAGGGCTTAATCAGATCTTGAAAACTGGAAGTTCAGATGACTTTTTCTGCTCTTTCTTAAAAAGGGAGTGAAGGGCAGGGACTCCATCCTGTTCACGGTTGTATCTGTACTTTAATGCATGCTTGCTGAATGCATGCATACCTGAGTGAATGAGCAAGGCAAAAGAGTTAGATTTGTTTCCTGGACAGCAGCCTATGACACAGTAATGAAAGCTTCAGGCTGGGGAGAAGGCCTCACAAAACACTTAAGAATATCTGGCAAAAGATCTGCTTCCTAATTAGGAAGGATTTAATGACTTCCAGTTTCCAAGAATGGTACTCTAGATATGTAGGCTAACCTTCCCACTAAAAACAACTAAAAATGCTGAAAAGGGAGCTTCTGGGTGGGTGAAAACATGGAGCTGTGGAGAGAGTAGTAGGCTCAGAGAGCATAGAAGCTCCATGCTCCTTCCCACATACCTTGTCCTATGCACCTCTTTAATCTGGCTGTTCTTGAGTTAAATTCCTTTGTAATAAACCAGTTATCAATCACCAAGAGGTGAGCAGTATAGAAAACAAAGACCACTGATTCATCACAGTTTCATAGCACACCAATGGAAGACAAGTCACTGTAGACAAGGTCTCTGCCACACTCACCTCAGAATCCCCAGGATATAGCATAGTGTCTTACAAATAAATATATGATGCTCAATAAATATTATTTGACTAGGTAGTTTTCCTAGAGAGCAGGCAATGATATAAGAATATTAAAAAGGAAGCCAATTGTACCTTAGGTTAAATTTTCTTGGGGAAGTTGAATTCTATTTCTATTTCACTGTATTGTACTGCCTGGAGAAGATAAAACAAAACAAACGCAAAAATGCTGAAAAGGAGGAAAAAGAAGAAAAAAAGAAAAACATCTTCTTAAAAGGAGCTAATTGTGAATAAGACAGAAAGGCAACCAGGGCTGCATAAGAAGGGAAATAGGAATCCAGAGAGGTAAACAAGACAGAAGACTTGTTTCCTGTAGGGCAGTGGTGATTCTGGCAAATTTCATTTTTGTTTTAAGGACTTTGCAGGGTGAGAGGTTTAGAAATCAGCCAGGTGAGGAATCTAAAGGAGACTATCTCCCACAATAGGCTGGGATCCCAAAAGTCTGCCCTCTCATGTTAAAGGTGAGTGAGATGTAAACCAGCTCTGTAGTTGTCTTCTGCCCAAGTTTGTGGCTGCCTATGACTTGACCTTGGATTTAAGTGGTCTAGGATAGGTAGTATACCCCCAGGCACCTTGCAGGACCAGCAGGATTCCCTTCTGGAGGAAGGATTCTTTGGGGAATCATTGTCTAAGATGAGTTCTAAAGGAAGAGTAAGACATCTAGGTAGAAGAGAGGGAATACTCCAGACAGGGGGAATACCATATAAAAAGGCCTAGAGATAAGAAAGGTTAAGGAATCAAAAATTCCCGACAGTGTGGCTCCAGGATCCTTCTTAGGGAAGGACCTGCTTTGTTTGATAAAATATTGTGTTAGGCCACTTGATGTAGAGACAGAGACTCTACAAGTATGGGTGTTGGTAAGAGATCCAGCAACTTAACACTGATTAAGCTGCTCTGAAGTGGGGATTTGGTTTTTTGCTTTTTTGAGGGGAAGATGAAAAGGGAGCAAAGGGAGAAGAAAAAGAGAGAAGCCAGCAGGATGGCAGGGGGCTAGGGTCTGCATTGGTGAAATGCCAGTGAGAGAACCCTGGTGATAATTAGGCTAAAGAACTTTTAAGACTGTGGAAGTTATGGCTAATAAGGGACTTTAAGTTATGTACTGTATGGTGTGATGCGATTCTTCCTCTTGACCCCTGATAGTGACGTGTACGGGGCTCACAAATGCTCCATGTGGATGAGGTCTTTGTAGAAAATTGAAGATGACTGAGTGTTGCATCTGAGTCAAAATGTTGGATAGAAGCAGCTTAAGTGGAACCAGGAACCCAAAGTCAGGAATGGCCACCCTCCACCCCCATCCCAGGGATTCGGGTAAATTCTGAAGAAGGCTTTGGGCTTTCAGAAGGTGTGGAATAAAAGATTTGAGTGGAACTTATCTAGATCTTAAGGGCTGAGAAAATAGAGTTGAATTTGGGGCCAAATCAGTAGAGCTGGTATAGAATTCAGGAATTTGAGGCACAGGAGGGAAGAGCTGTGGTGAGAGGTAAAGCAAGAGAGGAAAGCAAGAACAATACCCGATGGGGCCATTAAGCCTTTTGGACTTAGAAACATGGGACAGGAGCTCAGGGAGAGAGGTACGGACTGTGAAGCTATTTTCTGTTTTGTACCAGTACAGCGCTAGGCTTGATGTAATCCCCCTGTAAACATATGCTGAATGGAATGAAGAACTAACACTCAGGACTGTCTTATAAATGAATGCTTTAGCTCAGAAAGTCACTAGATAGTGGTTGGCAAACTATGGCTCATTGGCCAAATCCAGCCTACTGCCATTTTATTGGAATGCTGCCCAAACCATTCATTATATATTGTCTCTTTTCTAAGGCTGTTTTTGCCCTACAATAGCAGAGTTGAGTAGTTTGACAGAGACTATAAAACCTAAAATATTTACTATCTGGTACTTTACAGAAAAAGTTTGCCAACTGCTGCACTAGCTAGTCAAGGAGAATCTGGGAGACCATTGATTTGGGGTGCTGTAGAAGAGATGGTGGCAATTTGCTCTCAGATCTCTGAGGCCTTAACCAGCTCTATGACTGTGATCAACAGACATGGTTTGGGGCGCATGACAAGTGAAAAAATTTTAAACACATTTGATTAATGAGAACGTAGCTTTAATATCTAAGTTTTAAAAGTTACGTTTAAATTAGATAAGTCAGTTTCTCAACATCTGAACCCAATACATTACACTGTCCCAGGAAAATGAGAAAGAGAAATGTTAATCATTCATTTGGGTCGGTATTCATCTAAAGCTAGTAAGTTGAAGAGAAACATGTAAAATAAAAGGCAAAGCAAAAAGAAGTCATATTTCCCTTTTATTTTAGGGTTTCACATTTCCTCCCTTAGGTTTAATAATATAATAATAATAGCATTATTTGAAGGAACTAATTAAAATATGGAAGTTTTATGATTAAATAGTTTTAAAGCTTAAATAATACATGTCTCCATAACAAAGAAAATAATAAATGATTAGTGCTGCAATCAGTAGCCACATAAAATTGTTTACTTGTTTTTGAGAAAGATATGATCCCTACAGATGAACCAATATCTTACTTTGGAGTCATTTTACAAAATTTAAGCATTACATTCCATACTTAGGGGCCTGAATTTAGCCAGTAGTTATTGAAAGCCATGATAAAAGGAAAGCTCAGAACAAACATACTGTCATTTTTAGTTGCCAGAGAGCTAATAGTCAAAAATTATTCAGGAATCAGAAAACAAAGGAATGAACTCATAAACAAAATGGAACGTATCATGAAGTCTTAAGCAATTCTCAAGGCATCTCCTTAATTGATATGTTTGTTTGCCTAATGAGCTAGAGAACCTGCTAGAGGTATGAGATGTCCACTGAATGGAAAAAGGAGATAGGCATCTGTGATGATTTTGAATAGCTGTACCTGCCATTCTTAAATTTTCAATGGAAGAAATACAAAAGAACATCACCTATTAACATTTTTAAAGGTAATGAGCTCATAGAGTATATATATATATTAGTGACTACTGTAATTTCTCCAAAATATGTCAGTGAAGAAAGTAACTCAAGTATAAAGATTAACTAGTCCTTGGTCGATAGGTAAGCCAGAACTATAATTCTGGTTTTCTTACTGTTTTCAGTGCTTTCTGCTAGCCCAAAATAAGTCAGAAAACTTCTAAAAATGCATATTCCCTAGACCCACCTCCTACCTAATGAGCTAGAATATCTACAGCTATAGCTGCTCAGGTCTTTCAGTGTACCCTGTCTGCACACTAAAGCTGAGTAGCAATGGTGCCAGACTGTTTTACCTATTCTGGAAAGAAAAAAAAGTAGGCTGATGTGAGCAAACCATTTTGCATTTCTGTTAAAATTGCCGAGTTAGTTCAAAATGCATTATGATATTTAAAAAAGGCATCCCCTTAAGTGCATCTATGTTTAGAAAATTATGCTGCTGAGAGGTAACATATGCTAGGACTCGTGTTCATCCTAATTGCTATGAAGGGTAATTCCTAAAAGCTAGGAGATTGCTGTTTTGTCTTGCTTTTGAGATTCGAGCTGGGAGCCATCGACCCGTAACCTGATCTAAAGAAGCCTCAGCATTGATAGAGCAGAAGTACCAATGTCATCCTGATGACACTTTCCAGAGCAGTCCAGAAGAATAACACTGAAAGAAAATGAGATTCTGTTTCTGTACACTGCCCAGCTGCTTCTTAAGAGGGCATTATTAGGCGGGGTTCTGAGAATACACAATCATTTCGGCTTTCCTATTTGGGACTATGAAAGGAAAGAATTCACGTGGCATAAAAGGGAAAGAAAATTTTAGTCATTAGGAAGTAGGTTGCACCTCGATATTGCTTCAAATAATACTTTATTGTAGTTTGTAGGTAACTGAACATGTGTTTAATTTTATAGTCAGTTAATGAAAAGCAGTTACTTTCTCAAAGATGCTCCTCTTAAATTTCATGCCAGTTAAAGGGTTTTGGAGCCAATTACTAACCAACCACAGGACTATTTAGGTAGAAAGGATCAAAATTTCAGTGAAAAGCCTGAGATCAGTACTTCTGAGGGGATAGAGAATTCAATCAGCTATGGCGGCCCTAAATTCCTGCTCAGATCCCTTTTGGCCAAATATAAAACCTCACATTGCTGCTTTTGAGCTAGGGTCAACTGCTCCTATCCAGATTACACATGACTTACTAAGGGTTTCCTGGGACTCAAGGGATGACCATTGGAGCTGAATAGGAATTGGGGGCTAACAGCCACTTTTGGGAGTCAGGTAACAGTAGAAGAGTAGGTAGGTAGGTACAGCAAGGACGAATTCAGCAGAAGTCCTCTTTCTCACAAACATCAGGGGCCTCCTTCCTCATGGAGATCCCTTCTGTGGACTCTCCTTCTCATGAAGTGAAAATAGTTTACAAAAACACATTGACTGTGATCTTTAAATGTTAAAAAATGGGGAGGAACATATTGAGATGTTAACAGTGGTTTTTATTTCTGGGTAAAGGAAGGACAGAGGTTTACTTCTTTGAGCTTTAATTTCATAATTTTTTTCTGTTGGGAAAATGGAAAATTTGTTTTCTGAATGGATTTCCATGATTTCTAAACTACTTATAAGGAACGTGTTAGTTTTTTAATTAGGAAAAAAAAAAGCTTTCTTTTTCTTTTTTTATATGAAGAGCATAGTTACAAATTGGAGTGATCCGTACAAGTCTGATCAGGACAGTGAAAGCCTAGAAGCAAGAAGACAGAGAGTCTGTTGAGAACCAGTGTGTAGTCCGGCAGAGAGAACTCTCAGCCAAAGGGATCTTCGAACTCTGGAAGGGCTGCTGTCATGGAGATGATGGATTTTTCTTGTTTTGCATAGCTTCAGAGAGAAGCACCAAGATCAGCAGGTAGAAATTAAAAGGAGGAATAATGTTCTCAGTAGAAAAACAATTATTTAACAACCAGGAGCATTCAAAAGTAGAGTGGGCTGCCTGTGTGGGAGTGATGTCCCATTTTAGAAGTGTTTAAACTGAACCTAGGAGACTTCCTATATGATTTCTTAAAGAAAGAATTCTTAAATGAGAGGTTTGACCAAGTGAAATTAAAAAAAACAAAAAACAAAAAACAAAAGGAGCATAATGAAGAATCAACCATATAGGCTTTTTTTTCAACATTCAAGTGTTTTGAGAACTTTTTGCCCCCTCAAAATGATTCAGGTAAATATAATACAAAAGCTGGCACTAAGATCTTAGAAAATTACTTGTTTGTACCTGTTATTACTTCATATGTAAAATAGGGATAATAATAGTACTTTAGGGTTGTCGTGAGGAGTGAGTAAAAGAATTACTATGTAGAAAATGTTTGGTACAGTATATGTTAGAAGCAGTTCTTTAATTAACCTGTCATTAATATGTTATAGACAATTTAGTAAAGCAAAAATTTAGACAGCAACTATGAATAACAGATTCTGAGAGTATTTTTGACCAGGTGGTGTTGGGAATCACTACACTACTCTTTAAATAGATTAATTTCTAAATGAAGGAACCAATCATTCTAAAGTTCTAAAATGTAGTGGATGAATTTGACATCTACCATTTAAAAATATACACACCAAATACAACTATCAAGTTCATAACAGCTGTGGACACTTCGATTTAGTTAATTTTCACGTTATGCCTTTCCTGTGATGTGATAAACAAAAGAGCCCCGTAACCGTGTTTTCTCTCACGTATAAAAATATACAAATATACTAAAACCTTTTTTAATGTTTGCTTTCTCTAGTTTTTGTTTTACCTGTCCTCTGAGGCTGTTGGACGAGTAGATGTTTGTAGCGGTGTGTGCAGTTCATTAGAGTAAAGAGTGTCTGACAGTATGTCAGCTCCTTCAAGCTCCCTGCAACGGTAAGGCCTGCCATGAAGAACCTCCATGCTTCTTGGCTAAAAAGGCACAATCTGGAAGAGAAAAGGAGGACATACTTGGTCCAAGAGTGGACTGACTTGGCGGCTATCACACTGACTCTCCCCCTTCAAGGCAGGCAGGAAATGTGCTTTGTACTGATAAATTGTTCAACCCAATGCTGCATAGAAATCAGGGGCCTCCTTCCTCATGGAGATCCCTTCTGTGGACCCTCAGATGTCACATCACTAATAAATAGGAACTGAAGATCTGTGGCAATGAATTTCAACTGAAACATCCACTAAGTGAAAGATGTTCCTGAGTAGTCTGAACGCTACGTGGACGATCTGTAGGTCCATACAAGGCCACCGCTTCGTGGACATCGACTGAAATTCAGTTCTTGCCTCAAATTTAACCATAAATATTCAAGAAAACTCAGCTCATCTCCCCCACCCCCAACTCCAAGCTCTTTCTAAACAGCAAGGAGATTCATTATCCAGCAGAACCAGCAGCTATGCTTCCAAAGGCTTTGGGGATCTTGAACGAGAGAAGTCCTTTGCAGGGAGGGAGGTGGAGAATCAGTGGTGAAGCATGAGCGGGACCCCAACGGGTGAGAATCCCACCCCTCCCTCGGACTTGGAGGGGGACGCTGAGGCCAGAAGCTGCGGCCGAGCCTCCCGGGCCATCAGCACCCCGCCCAGCGATGCCTCGGATTCGGACGCACCTGGGACATCAGCTTGGGAGAGGCACCGGTCCGCGCCTCTCCTTCCCCTCCCCAGAGCTGGCGGGCCTTTGCGGGGCGTGGAATTCCGCGGTCTTCCGCACCTGCGGCCCGGGGAGCCTGCGGGCAGGTGCGGATGAGGTAAGGCCAGAGAGGGACCTCTGCAGGCCAGGGGTGGGGTTGAGGGTGCCTATGACGGTGACTGTGACCGTTGCGCTAGGTAATGCATTCTTGCGGGGCTGTGGGTTTCGG